AGTAAATGAAGCTTATGAAGGAAAAATATGTTTATACTGGGACACAGAAGTATTCACTTTAATAGAATTGTGTGTGTAACAGCACAGTGCTGCACGGTTATCCACTGAGATTTGATTCCTAAAACTCATGTTATGTTGGGGCTTTTATCTTCTGACATTCAGGCTTTGCTACACATTTTCATCAGTCCAGTGTCTTTTTCACAAGGACCTACGGCTACCGGATAGCCCTGCCATTTGAGAAAGAGCTGTGATTGGTACACAGGGCAGCAGAGCTGCTAATCTGTGTGCCAGGAAGTCTGAGGCCTCGGGACATGATCAGATTTGAGCTCTTCAGCTGCAGTGTCTCTGCTAAGTGCCTGGATGGAGATGTGCTCAATTCAATTTGTGGCAATTATTCTGAGAGAAGCAAATGCACCCGCGTGCATTAAACCAGATCGTCAGAGAGAAATATTTAGTACCCATATGTCCTTATCCTACAGTTAGAAAAAAATATATATGAGACGAAGGAAAAATAGATCAGCTAGGGAGAAGAGGCCAGGATGGACCGCACAGCAGGAGGGGGAGGAAAAGGCATGGTATTTAAGGAAGAAGGCTGTTGAGGCAGAGGATATTGTAGCAAGGAGCCTGGGAAAGCTGCCCTGTGCTCTTTTCCCCAGCTCTCCTCATCCTGTAGGAAGTGTGGTCCCAGGGTAGCCTCTGGGCCAAGGTTGCCATGAAGGTGCTGGGAGACATTTTGTTTTAGCTCTGAGCCATCTAGCCTAGCCAGCAATGGAGTGCCATGGAATTGTCTCATGTAGACAGGCCATATGGCTTGGACCTTCAAAAATGACCCTAAGATTCTGATAGTATCCTAACCACATTCCAATTAATTTACCGAACATGAAAATGAATGTGCTTCAGTATAGAGATAAAAAAGGAAAAAAAATGATCTGGTTTTTTTTCTTTTTAGGTCTGCAGCCCTCACAATGATTGAATACTTTCATTACTTTTGAAAATCAAAGTCACTAGTATATTTTGTGTAGAGATGTAAACACTTGACTGCCCAGGCATGTTCAATTTCAGTGCTGTTTTTAGAAAGATGGCAGCTAACTTGTATAATGGAATGTGTGTCACTTTATGAAGCAAGTATTCTGTTTTTCTCAATTTGAATCACTTTGATATTGTTTAAAATAAGTTTCAAAGAAGATTTACGGTATTATAGTCACATCTGAAACTATGTGGCTTTGAGCCACATATAAGCCCTGCTTATAGGGAACACTGGTAAGCTCTCCCTCTAGGGCTGGGGCTAAGGTGGCTGGGATGGGATTCATGTTCATGCATTTGCTCCTGGTAATAAGGGCCATCTGCCAAGGGATTGTCCAGATGGCCTCAGCCTGAAATTTTTCTGACATCCATTCATTTGATGATTAGTCTTGATACTGCAAATAATTATTGATAGACTCCTATGAGCAGCGCTTGCTGCCAGGCTCTGTGAATGATTCAAGTCCTGCAGAGGCTGTGTCCACACATTACCTTCGTCTTCCTTTGCTTGGCCATTAATATCTTCACTTCCTATCAGAGTCACGTTATAAACCCACATTTGTGATAAAGCGTTCCTTGCTGTAGCCTTAACTAGTCAGTCTCAAGTGGCCTAAGCAGGCAGCTCAACTTATAAAATATTTATAATGACATGTTTGAAGCCCAGAAACCTAACCCTGTGACAAAGATTAAAAACTGTCTGGGAACAAAATTCCTTTTAGTGGAAAAATCCTAGAAGAGCATCAGAGGAAAGGTCATAGAAGCCATGATAAAGTATGTGGATTCAGACTGAGATGAGGTAGAGGAAAATTAATAAATCTTTCCATCATATAAGCTCTGGCATCGCATATATCTGTATATGAGTGTATAGATCTATGATAATTCCTTTATTACCTATAGTTCTACGTGGACCAAATCAAACCTTATCCTCTTTACTTCCAGAAAGAACCTGGCATATGTTAGACAGCAAGGCATATTGCCACCTATCCTCCTGTTCTAATTCCCACTTTCAAGAATAGTTTCCTGCCTGTCTGATCCCGTACCCCTCACACACTCTCTGCCCTATTCCCTTCCTTTTTGTGTGTGGGAAACTTAGGTTCACTTTCCAGGTCTGAGCTGAGCTATCTCTCCACCCACAAGATTCCAGCCCTAGATTACTACCTTTCTCAGACTTCTCCAGCTAGTCCCCAGTGCCTGTATCACCGCATTTAGACTGTTGATTGTTCTGCTCCTTATAGACGGAGAAACCCCATCTCAGCAGAGAGCATGTCTTGTTCATTCCTGAGTGCCCAACACAACAGTCACTCCATGATACCTATTGAATGAGTGAATACGTCTGTCGTAATGCACCCTCTCTATTAATTAGATGAGTTATTTTACTGATTGTCATTCCTCCATCCAAACAGTCCTGAACATTCATACAATAATTTGTAAGCCCAGACACTGCACTAGTTCATTAACACTGGTATAACAAAGTTCCTTAGGCTGGGTAGCTTATAACCAACAGAAATATATTTCTTACAATTCTGCGTCTGGGAAGTACAAGATTAAGATGTTAGAAGATCGGCTTCTGGTGAGGGGCTGATTTCTGAAGATGCTATTTCCTTGTGGTACAAGGGATAACATCTCCTCTATAAGAACGTTAATCCCACTTACGAGAGCCCCACCCTTGTGTCCCAATTATCCACCAAAGTCCACTTCCTCACAGATGATGCCATTAGAACAGGTCCATAGGCAAACTAGGGTTTAACATACTAAGTGTTAGAGTATACAAAGATTCAGTTCATACCAGGCACTTAACCTATATTATACCCAAATAAATACACACAAACACTTCATCTAGGTCAAAGCTTGAGACTTAAACCAAAGTCCAATGAGGAAATTCTAACTGGTAAAGCATTGCCTTTCCAAATGGTACTGAGACCTCTAAGGACTGGGGATTTGATAGACAACTAGAAGTAACTGTGCTTAGTTGTGCAAGCTAACCCTGGAGGAGTGCCACAAAATGGTTGTGATAAAGTGTTATAAAATATATAGAAATATAAGGATTTTTATAAGGATAAAGCTTTATCCTAAGTAAACGGGCATGAGGGAGATCCAAAGGTTTTGAAAGCCATGAAGTAAATTATTTTACCCACTTCGCAGTAAGAATGAAAGGTTGCAAAACAAGGTAATTATCAGTTGTCATCCTGCACTGTTTTTTTGTAACAATTCTCTTCCTCTACCATAACCATGGAAACCCGGAGGTTGCAGGTAGACTGTGTAGGGAAGACAGCAGTCACCTTTGTGGTGGTCAGTGGTTAGGTCATAAAATCTACATAAAGCACAAAATGGAGAAGGTGATAATGTGGTAGTCAAGGTGCTCAGCCCTCTCTGTCACAGAAGACCTTTCCCTCTTCTCTCAGATTCAAAATTTAAATGTTCAGAAAGTGTAGTTTAGGCATTTATTTCAGGACCAGTGAGATGGCTCCACAGGTGAAGTCTCACGCCGCCAAGTCTGACCTCCTGAGTTCAATCCCTGTAAATTGTTCTGTGACTTCCACAAGAGTGTCATGGTACCTACACCCACTCACACACCCCAACACACTAAATCAATCAAGACATGTATGTGTAAAATACTTTATTTCAATTGACATTTTTGTAAGTAGATGTAAGCAAATAATAAATACCCCAGCTTTTGCAATCCTTCGTTTTATTTGACCTGATGCACAATAAGTGTCTAGCACAAGAACTTCTCAAACACAGACAGAAATTCCAGCATGGAGAGAAGAGTTGAACGTCAAGTCTGACCCTTAGCCAAGGAACTGTTGAGAGTTGGTAACGGCTGGGAGAGGGAGAGTCAACTTTTTTTGAGGACGTGACCTTCAGTAGGTCTGTCACTCTAGTAGAAGGTCACACGTTCAGAGTATATGGGAAGCACAGATTGGACTTGATGAGTTAGAGAGAGAGAGAGAGAGACAGACAGACAGACAGACAGCTTATCAAATGGGTAAGGAAAGGGATGTAGATCCAGGAGGCGTTGGAGAAGTGAATATGATCAACATCCACAATTAGGAGAAATAAAATAAATTTTAAGTGTCTAAATGATAAAACAATGGTAGATATTAGGATATGCTATCTTCATTCTTTTAAGAGATTATGAGTTTTGTTTTGCCATTTTTATAAATAGCTGGGTGGAAAATAAAATCATGTACCTTTCTGAATTTTAATAACTATATTCTTTAAGGACTTTTCTTATTTTTTTATTTTTATTATAACTATTATGTCCTACATTTCCTCCTCCTCTATCTTCTAATTTCAACACGTATTAGAGGTTTTAAATTCTGTTATCAATTTCAGTTGCTTTGAGAATGCAGAGCTTCTTGCTGTAACATTTAAAAGAAACAAAAACAAAATGAAGTTATTTTTCTGAAAAATAACCACCCAACTTTCATGAATTTTATTTAAAAATAACTTCTAATCAACAAAAATTTAACATGTTCAGTTACTTGGGGAATTGCAATGCAACATGTTTGATAATATTAAAGGTTTACTGTATTTTACAGATATGACATTGTGGGTGTGGTGATGATTTGAAAAGACTATTGTTTGAGTAACTGCTATTTGATGTAAAATAATAGAACAGGAAAGAAAGTAAATAGACAAGGTAAAGATTGGCTGTAAATTAGTCATTGGGGTATATAGAGTATAACATCTACTTGGCATACGTTTAAAATCATTTACAATGTAAAGTTAAAATAAGAAGGTCTCCGCTCATTAAGGAGAGTGGGTGGCTTAAGATGAGAGAAAATGAATGTTTTTCATTTTCTTAGCAAAGCCAGGATTTTCGAATGGCAGTTTATGGACTCTTCCCCCGCTGTTGGAAAAGGCTGTTGCAATTGTTCAGATGTATCTTCTCTGACGTTGATTTAATTAACTTCCTTTAATAGCCGCTCAACTAAATGTATGTGTCTGAGAAGCATTTTGCATTTCTTTTTTCCCAGGATTGTGGAAAAGGGATATTATAGTGAGCGTGACGCTGCGGATGCGGTGAAGCAAATCCTGGAGGCAGTTGCTGTAAGTAAGAAATAGCAGCGATGTGTGTTTAAGTATGGGTCATCTCCTCCTGTAAAAGGCATCAAGAAGTGCATGTGTGTGATGAGCTCTAAAGTACAGGAAAAAGGGTATGGGGTATTGCAAGAAAATATACGGAGTTAATGTGCATAGCAAACTAGTTTCTCAGATCTGAAGGATGTGCCGCCCCTACAGGTGTGTCGAGCTGCTTACATTCTCTCTTGAGTTCATATTGGGCTCTAGCGCTGTTACTGGCTCATCAACATCTCCTTCCCCATTCTTTCAGCTTATTTCTTTGTTGCTTTCCTTGTTTTATTCAGTTTGTTTAGAAATGGAAGAAGGTTGAATAAGGTAAATATAGGCCTAAAGTATAGAGATTACTGCCTTTCCTTTAAGATATGAAATCAATGGACTTGAAGAAAAATGAATCTGACCATTCTAGTTTTGAGGAAAAAAATATAAGGTAATATTTTATAAAATATAAAATTTTATATTGGAGTACAACCTTATGAACTAATTGCGGAAGCAAATACACATTTATGAATATGTAAATTTCAGTATTTGTTTTGAACTTCAGGCCGTTGTTGTCCAGATGACACAAATGTTTAACTATGCCGGCTAAAATCTTCCAATATAGTCACTGGTTTCTTCCCCCCCCCCCCCCAATATTTACTTTTATATATTTATATGAACGTGTGCTTGTGTATGCCATGAGGCCAGAGGAGGGTCCCTGTAGACCCTCAGAGCCCTATAGCTGGGGTTTGCCCTACCTGAGTCCTGGCAACAGAGCTCAGGTCCTTTGGAAAAGCAGTAAACCCTCCTCACTGCTGGGCCATCTCTCCAGCTCTGGTGACTGGCTGGGATACTTGAGTGAGTCATTACTGAGTATAAAGCCAAAACAAATTATTCTCTGAGCATACAGAACAGGTCCCAAGGGAGGATGTTTACCAGGATTAATTTAAAAAAATCCATACACTCTTCCCACATTAATTATGCTATTATTCAGTTAGTTATCATAAGAAATCACCCAAAGTAATGAATACAAACACACATCCCTCTAATTTTACCTACAGGAAAAGCAAGTGTGGATTGGGAGTGTCTCAGTGGGGAAGAGCACTGCTGTGCAAGCAGGAACAGACATCAGATGCCCAGGACAAATGTTAAAGCCCAGTACATATGTTAACGCCTAGTACATGTGTTAAAGCCCAGTACAAATGTTAAAGCCCAGTACATATGTTAAAGCCCAGTACATATGTTAAAGCCCAGTACATATGTTAAAGCCTAGTACATATGTTAAAGCCTAGTACACTGCCTCTAGCCCAGCACTGGGGATAGAAACAAGTGGACTCTGGGAACTCAATGGCCAGCCACCTGAGCAAAAACAGTGAGTTTGGGGCTCACCGAGAGACCCTGTCAAAAAAATAAGATCAAAGATGGCAATACCACTCAGTGGTTAAAGGCATTTGCTACCAAGTCCCAGGACGTGAGTTTCCTCTAGGACCTATATGGTAGAAGGAAAGAACTGCAACTTTTTCTCTATTTTCCACACATACATTATGGTACATGGGTGGGTACACACACACACACACACACACACACACACACACACACACACACACACACTTATGCGCACACACTAAATAAACAACTATGATTTTAAAAATAAAAAAGAAGGAGGTGAGCTATAGAAGATATTTGACATTCCCCATCTCCCCACATATGCTCACAGGAACATATCCTCACACATACATGAATATGCAGATCACAGAGGAGGGGAGGGAGGGAGACAGAAGATGAAAGAAAAGAGAAACACTGGGAAAAGATGCCATAAAATTTTACTCTACATGTACTGTGGTGATACTTTATTTGTGCTCTAGCAAATAAAGCTTGCCTGAAAATCAGAAGGAGGAGCTAGCCACTAGTTAACCACAGAGATCTGGAGGTCTGTACAGACAGACAGGAAGATAGTGATAGAGCTGGGTGGAGAGAGGAAGTGATAAGGCAGGGTGGAGAGAGGAGCTTGCTAGACGGAGGATTTTGTTCAGGTAAGTAAGAACTAGTGGCTTGCTGCTCTGCCTCTCTGATATTTCAGCTTGCACCCCAATATCTGGCTCCGGGTTTTGTTTTGTTTTTTTGTTGTAAGACTATTTAGCCATTCATGTTACAATGTACATCTGTAGTTGGTTGTTTTTTTTAACTATTTAGGCTCTTTTACTCTTTGGGCACCCTCCACTCAGCTCCCAAATAAATCCACATGGAGGCTTATTCCTTCTTATGAATGTCCGGCCTTAGCTTGGCTTGTTTCTAGCCAGCTTTTAACTTAAACTGTCCAATCTATCTTTTGCCTCTGGGCTTTTATCTTTCTCTATTCCTGTATATTCCTTACTTCTTACTCTGTGGCTGGCTGTGTAGCTGGGTGGCTGGCCCCTGATGTCCTCCTCCTTCTCTTGCTCCTAGATCTTCTTCTTCTTCTTCTTCTTCTTCTTCTTCTTCTTCTTCTTCTTCTTCTTCTTCTTCTTCTTCTTCTTCTTCTTCTTCTTCTTCTTCTTCTCCTCCTCCTCCTATAAATTCTCTCTGCCTCCCAGCCCTTCCTATCCTTTCTCCTGACTTGCTATTGGCCATTCAACTCTTTATTAGACCCTCAGGTATTCTAGACTGGCAAAGTAACACAGTTTCACAGAGTTAAACAAATGCAACATAAAGGAATGCAACACATCTTTGGATCATTCAGCAAATGATCCAAATGTTCCACAGCCTAAAACAAATGTAACCCACCTTAAAATCATATTCTACGACATACATCAGTCCTGGTTACATGAATATTGAATATCAAATTCTTATTCTCACTCTATACAAAAGCAACTGTATTCTAGATTATTGTGTCACCCTAATTTCCTAGGCTTGCCAAGTCAGGGATGGTTTTCATTGCTTCTATTCTCTCCTCATATCTACCTTTTCAACTTCAGTTGGATCTCCTGTCCATTGTCCCTGAACCCAGTCCCACTCACCGCAGTAAGTCTTGTTTTCTGGCTCATGTTTCTAAAACATGTTTTTATTTGCCTCCAATCCCTGTTCTTAAGTCTATGCCTAGAGTGTCTCTTGTAATTACTGGCTTTGTTTTGTAAGGACTAAGTTCAATAATGGCAATATTGTGTATATATTAAAGACTTATTTTAATCTTTGAATCTTTTGTTATCAGACACACATCACTTTGTCCAAATAAGGCAGGCAGCAGTTAGGAGCCCTTTGGGAGTCAGAGCCGAGTTTGGTTTCTTTGTACATGAGCTTGGGAATATCCCTAAATCTCTTAAGCCTTAGTTTCCTCTTCTAAAACTGGCATAACATTCAAGCTAACATGGTTGTGGGAAGGGCCAAGAAAATTCACAAATCAGAGCCATGTTCAAAAGAGCAGACCAACTGTAGACTGATTCAATTGATTCTTATTTGATGTTGTAAATCTGGACAGATAAAAACTGATTGCACAGTTACGTTCAGCTTATGAAAATTCAGTACATGTTTGTATATTTTATATATTACACCAACTAAACGTTTTAAATCTGGGTGATTTGAGGGGTGTGCAAAGCTGTCACAGGTGAGTCTTGGTCAGCCTTCCATGTGAGGTATTTGCAGTTTACCAGCTGGCTTTTTATGTGTTCGTGTATCCAGCTCTGTCATCTGATGTTGGTCCCACACAGGTGTTTTTCTTTCTGGCACAGTGGCACATGTATATTACATGGGCCGGTGTAGAGATGTGAATAGGAGAGACATCTGTGTCCCTCGATGTAACCCCTTTTCACATGCTCTCCTACTGACAGGACACTTCGTTCTTGTCCAAAATGGGGTGATCTTCCATGGAACTGTTCTGTGGTGCAGTCTTACCCTTCATTGCAGTGAAAATAACAAGATCCACACGTCGGGGGGCTGGGTTTCCTGGACGTTTACAGAGGTCTGTGGAGAAACTCAGCCAAGCAGCTGGAGCCAGCAGGACTTTTTGCACTCTGAATGTTCTCCCCAGCATTTTCTCTTCTCTTTTCCGACTTGTGACATGAGGGCAGAATCTTGTTCCTGTATTAACATGTCATCATATCAACTTTTGAGTCTTCCTCAAAGTAGATGTGAAGACCACTTGATCTTCAGTCCACACCTTAAGACAGAAGCTGCAGTTGGCTCAGCTCGAGTCAGATTATCCATTCTGCTTCTTTTTTCTCACTGCTAGTTCTTAATATCTGTCTTCGTTCCTCATGGAATGCTATGTTTTAGATGCATGATAGTCTGTTGTTGGCTTTTATAAGATGGTGATTTCAGGACTGGAGAGATGGCTCCATGGATGAGCACTTGCTGCTCTTGCAGAGAACTGGGTTCAGTTCCTAGCATCCATAGGCTGGTTTACAACTATCTGTAACTCCAGTTCTGGGGGATCAGATGCCCTCTTCTGGCCTCTGTGGACGCTGCAAGCACTGGTGAACTTGGCTATGTGAAGACAAAACACTCATGCACATAAAAATAAACAAATCTTTTAAAATACATTCATACAAATGCATGCCAATGGTCCTGTTTTTTTTTTAATAAGAATGATTTCACTTTAAGTATGATCTTATTTTGAAGAGAGCCCTCCTTGTGTGCCTTGCAAGAATGAACTTCTTATGACCAACTGCTGTCATTCTCCACATTCACTTATCTCCTCCTTTTTGTATTCAGGCTGTCTTGCGTCTGCATATGCAGAAATTTCTTCTTCTCTAATGCTAACCTAGAACTGTGGCAGTGCCCACCAGTATTTTGTCATCTTGGTGACACCACCGTTCAACAATTGTTCCCCAAAATCCTGGGGTTGGTCCTTGATTTGTTACTGCCCAGTCATCCCACTGCATTTTGCCTGTCTGATGGCAGGCAACAACATGAATTGGACCATTTGTTTTCATCATTACCAACCCCTGGTTCAAGTGACCATCTATCTCTCTTACTGCTGCCGAGCCTTCTAACTGGGTAGCACAGTTCCATGACCT